ATCCCGAGTCCTGGGGCGGGACGCGGGTATCACCGCGGCCAGGGTCGGTTTCTTGCTCGGTAGCGGGGGCACGCCGGGCTGCGATGCACCGGTCCGCACAGCGCCCGGTCCTTCGCGATCTTTTCTTGAGGGATGGAGTTTTGTGTACTAGAAACCAGCCAGTGAATTTATTTCTCACTGCGCCGCTTGAAATCCCCAGAGTGGAAATGTTGGCTTTAATGTTTTCGATTTTAAAGTACAAATGTTTGAAATGTTTGCACGTGATTCTTTGTCTTTACTGCTTTTCTAAGAAGATAATGTATTGGTATGTGGGCTAAAAGGGAAAAAATCAGGCTGGAGTGACATGTTTGTTTTGCTTTAGTGCTCATGACTTTTCCATTTCTGCATTGTTTTTATAGCCCATCAAGGCTCCTGAGTCTGTATCCACTATAATTACAGCAGAATCAATCTTTTATAAGGTATGGTTCATGAAGTTTGTTTGCAAAAAAGATCTTGCTGTTCCTATTTCCAATTTCAGGAATTATCACAGATAATGAAAGCATTGGTGGTGCATTCACAGGAGCTGTTCTTCCTTGCCTAGCAGTTGTGGACGATTTTTGTCTGCCTTACATATGAGGTTAGCCTTGCAGGGTAGTTTACCACAGTAGTTTACATAGTTCTCACTGTCCCATTTTTTTTTCTTCCAGGAAAAAGATGTATCTGGTTTCCTTAGTGATTATTGCGGTCAGGGTTTTTAAACCTCTAACTTCTGCTTTTGTGCAGAGCTCAGGTGGAAGTGACTGTAGCTGATTATTTAGATTTGTGTGATGTTTCCTACCTTAGGCACAGAGAATACTGCCTATAGAGGGGGTGGCTTGTGCTGCCCTAACATCTAAGCCGGCCCCCCTTCCAGAGCTGAGTGCAAGCAGCCTGCAACACCCTCACAATAAGATCTCTTGACTGTTGCAGTGAAAGCAGAATTGGGCCTTCTCACATTCATGCTCGAGAGGTGTTAGTGTTTCGAAGTTCTGAAATGTGTTTTTGTTTCCCAGAAGTACAAACAAACCATTTGAAAAGCCTTTTCCTCCAAAGGAAAGATCAGGATAGCCGGTGGAAGACTGCACAGCCAGAGGAGATATATATGAGTATAGATACACACTGGGCTGTATACGCTCTGGATGCCTGATGCTTCATGTCTGGCATCCCAGATGACTCTCTGCTGTTGACTAGTTCACAAAAGAGTTAACGTTTTTTTTCTTGTGTATTTTTAGTTTTGGAGTGGGTTTTTTTAATCAGAAATTCCTAAGATTTACATCAAAAGTTTTATTTAACCCACTCTCTTTATACAAAATGTTTCTACTTTGATACTTTGCTGTGTTGTTAAGGGGATTGTTTGGGTTTTTTTTAATGTGTTTTATCTTTTTTAAAACAAACCCCTCCTGGATGATTCTTGGCAAATTCTGATTTTGATCTGCATTGAGCAGGCACTGCATTGTACTGTGTGAAGCTATTATAACATGAAATGAGTTGCCTTTGCTGCACAGCCTCACACATCACAGATCACCATAGAAGGAGGTGGATCCGTGTTTTGGGACTCCTTTGCATTCAAATGAATAAACTTCTTCATACACAGACGGCTGCTTTCCCTGCACATACACAGGGGAATGACCTCAGTTACTTGTTCTGCAAGGTGGTGTTGCGTCCTCCTGCTTCTTACAGAATGAGACTGTCTCCACTCTGCACACTCCCAGGCATGGGGTGACTGCACATAGTGTTGATGACTGCTTAGGTGAGGCAGTACTCGCATTATGCCACTGTTCTTCTGCATGTGGCTGAATCAAGGCTGTCTTTGAAGACTGGGCTAATTTGAGATAATTTAAGGTACTAGTACTTAAGAGATGAACCGTAATCGCAGAGTGAAGCTTCTAAAATCAGATTGCTTGATTTAATTATTGCTTGTATGTCTTCTAGGGTGTGTACTATCAAATTGGAGATGTTGTTTCAGTGGTTGATGAGCAGGATGGAAAAACATACTACGCTCAGATCCGTGGGTTTATTCAGGACCAATACTGTGAAAAGAGTGCTGCACTCACCTGGCTCATTCCTACACAAGCCAGCCCCAAAGATTGTTTTGACCCAGCATCCTATATCATAGGTAAGCTCTAAGCCTTCGTTTTATACAACTACTTACATGTGCCTAGACTAATGCAGAGTTGGGGTTTTTTAAATTAATTTCTTAGCTTATCAAGATTCACATTTTAGACCCTAATCCTCTAAGCTGCGCGTTTACTTCAGTAACCTTTTTCATTTATCTGATGTATATAAAATGATGAGCACTACTGCAGTGAGTGTGATGACCTGAGTATTTGTGTCCACAGGCACAATTTTAGTCTTGCAACTTTAACGATCAAATTATAACTCCATAGAGAGAATCAAAGTTATTACAGTGTAAACCTGATATACCAGTCTAAGCTCCTCCTTTTCAAATGACCTGAATTAACTGATCTCTATCTTGGCTATTTAAAATACATAACAGTGCAAGCACTGCCATAGAGAGTGTTCTGCTATTGATTATAAAATCAATAATAATTCAGAAAAGCCCTTTTGACAGGCAGGCCACGAACAGTATCTGTTTAAAATGTATTAACTAAAGCACTTCTCTCAAATAACTGAATGCTTCCAATGGGGGGGAGAAAAACCCAAAAAGATCAGACCAGCAAAATAAAGGTAGAGGTTTCTTGCCTAGTATTTGAGGCTGCTTTGCCAGAGAAGTCACTGGTTGAAAAGGCACATTCTCCAAGGGATATTGGCTGCTGTTGAGTATTTTTAAGTAAAAGTCCTGCATTTTCCAGTTTTATGCCTTTAAATTTTGTCTTTGAAGATTATTTCTTTTTTCTCTAGGACCAGAAGAAGACCTCCCAAGGAAAATGGAATATTTAGAATTTGTTTGTCATGCACCTTCAGAATATTTCAAATCTCGATCATCTCCCTTCCCCACTGTTCCCACAAGACCAGAGAAGGGCTATATATGGACTCATGTGGGACCTACTCCTGCAATCTCCATTAAAGAAACTGTTACCAATAATTTATAGTTTTTTAAAGAATACTTTGGACGAGCTACTTTGGGTGTATTCTCAGGTCTGTGAACCCCATACAAGAAGTTTAAAAGAATTATAAAATGTTCATTTTACTTTATGGATTATGGCATTTATTTATTTTAAATTATATCAGATTTTTAAAGTGGAAGTTTTATTTCCATTTGATGCGTCCATTTGTGTGCTCTGTTCTTCAGACAGGATTGCTCATTTTGGCACAAAACCAGATCTTCAGCTTTGGTGAGCACACTTCTGAAAGCTGCCTTTACTGGTTCTATTTTCTAACTTCTTTTCTAACTAACTTATTTTCTAATTTATTTTCTAACTTACTTTCTAACTACTTTTCCAGAAAAGGAGTTAAAGACATACTCTTAATTACGCACTTTATATACTTGTTTAATTTAGTTAACTGTGACTCCAGTTTTTGTTTACTACTTAAATTATTTAAGACTAGCTTCAGACAAACACTGAGCTTGGTCAGTGATGCCCTTAACAGTTGTCTGTTACACAGGACAGGAGTGATCTTTGTAGATTTCTCTCCTTCAGACTAAAATCTAGCAATCGTCCTTAAGGCAGTACTCTGTTAAGTCACCTTGTAAGAGAATTCTGTTCAGCTGGATCTAAGACATGGGCCTATGTCTATAGCTTCCTGCTAAAGTTTGCTGATCTAAGTGGGATACATTTAGTGGAAAGTTGGTTGCAGTTTTAAAGATCAGTGTTACTTGGCTTTGCCATCCTGGCATCCTTGTGGCAGAAATGTATCTATCTTCTATTTCCTGAGCAAGCCAGCAGTGACCCATGATACTGCAAGTGTGTGTGTTAGCTGGGTCTCTTAAAATTGATTTTGAATTGGGGTTTTTTTCAGTCTTTGCAATAAATGATGACAAGAAAAATAGCCTCTAGTAATTCAAATTAAAAAAAATTGCTAAGGGAAGTAAAGACTAATTTTATATATTGACAGTCTCAGTAATACCAATGGGAATATTTAAATAGCAGAACAGGCAAAATGCCACATACTAAAATAGCAACGTTAAAGTTTTCTGCAGTAAAGCTTTTACAAGCCAGTCAGCTCCAAACACTGTGAGACGGGCTTGTGTGGCCTGAATTCCCTGGGGTTGGAGGTTACAAAAGTTGCACTAGGCTTATGTTTAACTTAATGAAAAGCTTTGATTTAAGATGAAATGTACTTTGAAAACCTCAAGTATTGATAACTTCTAGTACAGTGGGACTTGTGACAGCAGGAACCAGATATATTGGTTTCAATCTGCAGCCTCGGTTCTGCACTCTTCAAATACAAGGAAGAACAATCAACCTTAAGGGAGTAGGTGCTAAACTTAAGGGACAGTGTCAATAGTCAGATTGACAGTATACTGTCAGTAGTTCAAAATGCTCAGAAATTAGCATTACATGGCTAATACAGAATTAATCTTAAGTAACTTCAGCTGCTATATCCACGAGATGCGCACCCATGTTCAGTGTGTTGTACCAATTAATCCCAAGGTGACCTTGCTCCTGACATTCTTCTCTCACTTTCTCCAGATTTGTTTTTCTGATTTATCTTTATTAAATTAACATAAGTAAAAATAACTCTTAAAAGGTATTCACAGTAACCAGAGTGACTTCTTCCACTCCATGTTTTCCCACCTTTCTCTGCAGTCTGCAAGGTTTTCACTCAGGATCACTATAAAGTCCCTGTGCTGATGGGATGATCCATGGAGCTCTACTCTTCGGTGGGCTGACTTTAAAACTCAGCAGCTTTCCTTGCCATATCCTTGTAGGAAGAGGGAAGAAAACAATGCTCATATTCACTCTTGCTTTTTTGAATTGCTACAGTTTACACCAAATGAGAAGTACTTGCTTGCCATTTGTCTTTTATTTGTCAATGATCTGTAATATCAAAGGGACAGTTTAGAGAGAGAGCAGTGTATGGTTTGTGATTTGAAGTTTGTTTCCCAGAATGACCAGCTGATGCATAGGTCTCAGCACCCTCCTGTGTCACACAGCAGCTCATGCTGCAGGCTTGCCTTAGTTTAGTTTGAAAGCTTGAGCAAGAGAAAAAAGTTCGAAGCAAGATAATGTCTTATGAAAAATAGTATGTACGTTGTATAAATATTCTCCAGTAGCAAAGAGCAGAGCTCAGGTACAGGATAGGAAACCTGGAACTTCTGTAGGAAAAAGCAAAGAACTGTGAGCATTGCCACCATGAAATGAAAGCCAGAATCAAGTAAAAATGTCATCCCTTGCTGCATTTGAATCACCAGTAGCACTAAATTTAAGAAAGGTGCATTCTGATTTGATTTCAAAGGAAAAAAAAATGAATAAAGAACTGCACCGTAAAAGGAAAACTATCAAATAATGTAGTAGGTAATGTAAACCAAATGTGAATCTTCTTCAGTTCTGTTTGTTATTTACCTAACTAAGAAAGGAGGTCTGCACTCAAATATTTGTTTTGTTTGCTGCAGGGTGATCCACACCTACTGATCCTCGCCCGACACAGTGATTACAGGTACTGCGCAGTACAGGCTAACTCATGTTGGTGGATCTAAAGAAGTGCACATGAAGTTGCTTGAAGTGTTTGACATGGTCTTTTGTGTCAGGGTTTTCTGGGGACACCAAGCACAGTGCGACTGTCTTCAGCTGCAGCTGGCCAACGCATTCTGAACCCCCAAAATTATTAAGGATGGTGATTGATTAACAAACTAACATCAGGAACATGCATAAGAATAAATCCTGAAATTGCTGCAGCTGAATTAGGCTTTTGTTCCTTTTTCAGGTTGTTAAACAAGTATTTCATTGTGTACAGACACATAGTCATGGATAAGGCTGCAAGGACTCTCAAGATAATGAAGGCATGCAACAAGAGGACCAGATGTCTTCTTTCAAATTGATGTGGGCCTTCCTTCTGTCGATGAGGCCTGAGAAATAGGTAATCAAACAGCTGCAAGAGAAAACAGCTAAAGGAGCCTCTTGGGGTTTAATACTGTTTAATTTGATATCAGAGCATCTGAAATACAAGGAGACCATAAGAGCTGGGACTGTTCAGCCTGGAATAGAGAAGACTCAGGGTGGAAAGTGCTCATTTAGCATGCATATCCAGACAGGTGTGTAAATGAGATGTATGATCTCACGAATATACAAAAATATTTTGCTGGCAACAGAGGTTTAGCAAAGTTTTACTATCACCTGATTCAGTACTTCCAGTACTCTGATTAAAATAAACAGTCCATAATAGAAACATGCACAACCATTATACCAGTGTTTCAAAATCCTCGTAATTCAACAACTGTGTAAGTATCTATTAAGACTCACTTATTCTACTGACGCTTGAAATGGAGGAAAGCCAAGTGCTGTGCTTTACAGGGGCGAATTTTGCAATATCCAGGGAGTCCATTTTCCTTAAAAATCAATTTTACGAAGTCCACTTGCAAAATTATTAATGCCAGGTCACAGCATTAATAATCACTGTTAATTAATTAATTAATGATTTAGCACACAAAGTATTATGCAAGGTTACAGGCAAAAATACTAAGGTCATACACACCTATAGTAAACATGAGCCTCCTAAATTAAGTACAGTCATAAAACGCATAGATGGCTTTAATACCAAGTATACTTTTTAGCTGGGAGACATCTTCTGGTGTGGTTGAAGGTTTGCCTGAAGAAATTTTTTTTTCTGGATTGCATAAAGCATCTGCAGTAGCGGGTGTCAGCAGCATAACTGCAACATTGCTCAAGTCTCTGAATCCCCATAGAAAGAAAGACAGAGGGAAACACTGACTGGCCATATGGAAAAAAAAATTCACCATAAGAACAATTAAACACTGAAATGGGTTCCTCAGAGAGGCTGTGTAATCTCCACCTTTAAAGAGTCTCAAAACTTGACTGAGCAAGGCCATGCACAACCTGCTTTCTGACTTACTTAGAAACTGGCCCTTCCTTGAGCGAGAAGCTGTACTAGATGACCCTTTCAATCTACATTTATTTATATGCTTCACAAACACCTACTTTGCCAGATCTCATTCAAGGTTAAGTATTTTACAGCAGAAGAGATGGATAAATTTTTCATATCCAACATGAGACACATAAAAATGAGGATGGTGGGGAATTCTCACAGGTTACAATTTGCAAGAGTAAAAACTCTTTCACATAAAATCTGGTGCCTTACATCTGATGATAGAGCAAAATTAAATTCTGAAGGCTTTAGAGGTTTAACATAACCCAGCATAAGTAAGTGCTTTGTAATGTATGCTCTGTGCCAATCTTATATCTCTCAGTTCATACAAACACTAAAAATGTACCTCACAAGCTGAGAGAGAATAATTAAGTTTGAACTTATTACTGTTTAATATTTCTTCAAACGTGTGCTACTACATGTGCCATAATAGAAGTAAAACCCACTTACACAATTAAACCTTGCCTACAGAACTGGAGAAAAGCAGTCTAAACCATCCAGGTTCATGACAACAAAAAGCTTTTCCAGGACTAATCAGGACCTTTTTATCAAGGAGCTTCTGCCATAATTCAGGTTCGTCTTCAAATGTCTGTGATTTTAAGAACTAAAAGAAGAAAATATTTTTTTACTAAAGGTTGAACAAGTCCATAAATTCATTGAAAGGATTTCCCAGCACTCAGTAGCATGTAACTGGCCTGGTTTTGGTGTAAACATGACAGTAACAACACAGACAAGAGATTTTTACACTTCCAAGTTTTATATTCCCACCCTTTTTCAAACTTCTTACCTACTTCCCTGAAGTCTGCCAACACATAGAGTATTCCTGAACTTTTATGCACAGCTACTCCGATATCGGCAAGCCCATCCACAAGAATTTTCTGTGCTTCAAGTTGCTTTTTGTTGGTGGGAAAAAACACATTATCCAACCAATCTGTCAAAGCAAGGAAAACAGATCTGTTTTATTTCCACCTGCAACAGAACAGTAAAACAATTCAATGGAAACATTTTTAGTGTGGCTAACCTCTGTTCCTAAGGAATTGACTGAGAACATGCTGAGCAGGCTCAGGACAGCTATGGAACACAGCCAGCTGATTCACAGCTTTATTTGCTGAGAAGAATCCTTAGTGTACATTAACATAAGCTATATGCAGCAAATATATTCTTATTGTACACAATCAAACAGTACAATGACTACAGCAGGAACTTTCAAAACTTCAAACATACCAACATGAGGAGTTGCCTTATTGCCTCATGCTTGGGATAAACCTGAAAAGACATTATTATTTGT